AACAAAGCAGCTGGCCCAGATGGCGTTTCACCATGGGTTCTGAGAGAATGTGCATCTGAGCTCAGCATTCCACTTCACCTGATCTTTCAGGCATCCCTGTGTACAGGAATCGTAGCAGACGTGTGGAAACAGGCTAACATAGTTCCAATCTACAAAAGTGGCAGCAGGGAAGACCCCCCTCAATTATAGACCTGTATCATTGACAAGTGTAATAGTGAAAGTATTGGAAAAACTAATCAAAACTAAATGGGTAGAACACCTAGAGAGAAATGATATAATATCAGACAGACAGTATGGTTTTCGATCTGGAAGATCCTGTGTATCGAATTTACTCAGTTTCTATGATCGAGCCACAGAGATATTACAGGAAAGAGATGGTTGGGTTGACTGCATCTGTCTGGACCTAAAAAAGGCTTTCGACAGAGTTCCCCATAAGAGGTTGTTCTGGAAACTGGAAAATATTGGAGGGGTGACAGGTAAGCTTCTATCATGGATGAAAAATTTTCTGACTGATAGAAAAATGAGGGCAGTAATCAGAGACAATGTATCGGAATGGAGAAATGTCACAAGTGGAGTACCACAGGGTTCAGTTCTTGCACCAGTGATGTTTATTGTGTACATAAATGATCTACCAGTTGGTATACAGAATTATATGAACATGTTTGCTGATGATGCTAAGATAGTAGGAAGGATAAGAAATTTAGATGATTGTCAGGCCCTTCAAGAAGACCTGGACAAAATAAGTAGATGGAGCACCACTTGGCAAATGGAATTTAATGTTAATAAATGTCATGTTATGGAATGTGGAATAGGAGAACATAGACCCCACACAACCTATATATTATGTGAGAAATCTTTAAAGAATTCTGATAAAGAAAGAGATCTAGGGGTGATTCTAGATAGAAAACTATCACCTGAGGACCACATAAAGAATATTGTGCAAGGAGCCTATGCTATGCTTTCTAACTTCAGAATTGCATTTAAATACATGGATGGCGATATACTAAAGAAATTGTTCATGACTTTTGTTAGGCCAAAGCTAGAATATGCAGCTGTTGTGTGGTGCCCATATCTTAAGAAGCACATCAACAAACTGGAAAAGGTGCAAAGACATGCTACTAAGTGGCTCCCAGAACTGAAGGGTAAGAGCTACGAGGAGAGGTTAGAAGCATTAAACATGCCAAAACTAGAAGACAGAAGAAAAAGAGGTGATATGATCACTACATACAAAATAGTAACAGGAATTGATAAAATCGACAGGGAAGATTTCCTGAGACCTGGCACTTCAAGAACAAGAGGTCATAGATTTAAACTAGCTAAACACAGATGCCGAAGAAATATAAGAAAATTCACCTTCGCAAATAGAGTGGTAGACGGTTGGAACAAGTTAAGTGAGAAGGTGGTGGAGGCCAAGACCGTCAGTAGTTTCAAAGCGTTATATGACAAAGAGTGCTGGGAAGACGGGACACCACGAGCGTAGCTCTCATCCTGTAACTACACTTAGGTAACTTAGGTAATTACACACACACATTCATACATACATACACACAATGGGGCCTCGACTTACGATGCTAATCCGTTCCCAGAGACGGATCGTAAGTCGAAGCAATTTTTCCCATAAGAAATAAAGAGATTTGAATTAATCCGTTCCCCACCCTCCAAAATATTAACATACAAATACATTTTATACTAAATACAATGTTTTTTTTCTAACTTCAATACAGTACCTAAGTTTATCTTACCTTTATGGAGGGCTCTTGATGGTGTATGGAAGATGGTGATGAGGGGGGAGGAGGAGAGTTGTTACTGTTTGGAAGGGGAGTCCCCCTTCCATTATCACATCAGGCAATGATGTTTTCTCTGGGGTACTCTCTCTCCTACATTTTGCCTGAATACCACTAGGACCTGGTTGTGGTTCAGTGCTTTTTTGTCTCTACAAATTTGTCAAGAGATATTTGTTTTTCCCTGCATTTTAACATTTGTCTGTAATGATGCATCACTTTAGCACCCATAATGTCCTTTTTCTTAGCCAGTATGGTGGATATCATTGACTGAGATTTGTTGTACTGCCTAGCTAGTCCAACAACCTGCACACCATCTTCATATTTACAAATGATCTCTTGTTTCTGTTCTATGGTCATCCTTACATGGGATCTCATATGTTGAGCCTTACCACTGACTTTCCTGGGACTCATGGCGTGATATATAATAACTTTAATGTTCAAATGCAAAAAATCACCACAAAAGCGAAATTTCTTATAGGTGTGATCGTCACTAAGTGGGCAGCTGTAGGAAACTGAGGCAGGTCGGCCGCGTGACCAGGAACCACGTGCTCGGTCTACCCGAACGTGTACCAACAAATATTGTAAGTCGACGACACTATCGGATGTCGAGTCATTTTTCGATGAAATTTACATTGTAACTCGAAAATATCATAAGTAGGGGCAATCATAAGTCGAGGTGCCACTGTACTGTATATATGTACTGTATATATATATGAGATAAGTTATGATGCAAGTACTGTACTCTTTTGGAAACAGCATTGTTGGTTTATGTAGCGCATTACTGGGTAACATTCATAATAATATTAATGTGGGATTGTTGGGTACAGTATTACGTGTAGCTTAAACATTCACTATACTGTATGTACAAATGAGTTTGGTTGATAATAAACGGCAGCGGTATTGCATTGGTCTTTTGGAGTTTCCTTTATTTTTGTGTTCTTAGGGTAAGATTTTATATTAATTTGATCAGAACAATATCTACTTAATATTTAACCCTTAAACTGTGCAAAACATCATATGATGTGTGACATTGAAGGGGGGTACAGGTATAATTTGAAAAATATTCAAATTATGTAAAAATTACTTAAAAATGTTAAACAAATCTCTAACTTATTGGCTTCAGTTTCGTGAAACTTTCATCAAAATATTTTCAGAAATTGATTTTAGATGAATATTAAAAAAAAAGTTTTGTTGATAAAGAGAACAGCTATTAACTGGAACTGATGGATAATGCAATAATAATGAGATGCAAGCACCTATCCGACGCACAAAAAGAATAGTAGTAAAAAGTGTCCACTGAGTGGATATACAGGTGGTGCCATCATAGCATTGGTGAGTAATACATAATAACACATAATAATGAGTAATTATGTTACTATGCTCTATTTTATTATATATCATATACAGTAAATACATTGCCCAATGTTATTATCAGTTACTTTCAACAATGTCCAAATTTTTTTTTTTTTTTTTTTTAGGATTTTAGTTTTTTTTTCCTCCTTTGTTTATCACAAAGGGAAAACGCTTTGCGTAATAGTGGCTTTAGGCATTGTATGTACTAGCTCTATCTATAAATCTATCAATTTTTGTATAACCTCTTGTATGTATGTACTTTACCTGAATAAACATTTATTTATTTATTATTTGAATTTGTTTTAACCTTTACATCCTGGGGAATGCATACTCGTCTCCAACTAGTCTAGGAGTCCTTAACTCCCAAACTAGGGAGCCGGTCGGCCAAGCGGACAGCACGCTGGATTTGTGATCCTGTAGTCCTGGGTTCGATCCGAGGCGCCGGCGAGAAACAATGGGCAGAGTTTCTTTCACCCTATGCCCCTGTTACCTAGCAGTAAAATAGGTACCTGGGTGTTAGTCAGCTGTCATGGCTGCTTCCTGGGGGTGGAGGCCTGGTCGAGGACCGGGCCGCGGGGACACTAAAAAGCCCCAAAATCATCTCAAGATAACTATGTGAAGCCAGAATTAAATTGGTCAACAAATAAATCAGTTACAACTCGTCAGAACTTGGGACTGAATTGTTTTTGGCTGATTTTTTCACAGATTTCAGACAATATTTTCCTTGTTTCTTTAGGTTGTTTTGATAATTAGGGACCAGATTAGGGCTTTTTTTACTTATATCAAGTATACCCTAAATATATTCCCCAAATCATTATAATTATTCCTATATTTTGGATTTGTTGGGGGGGTATTTTTCTTGACTTCATTTCTACACACATTGACCTACAACTTTCACATACTTGAGTACGAATGTCAAACAATGTTTATTACAACATACAAGTAAATTCATGAATTAGAACTGCCTTATTCATTGTCAATAACTTCAACTCCAATTATATCTATAACTAGAATTTCAACTTACTTCAGTATCCAAAAATCTAGTTTCTGACAAATTCTCACAATTTTTACACATAGTGTGCACAGCTGTCTGTTCTACAATCCCTATAGAATTGATTTGTCATAAAATCTAAACGTTTGGAGTTATACATTTTTGTTGTCTAAATTTGCGCATATTTCAGATGCCATATTGACAATTTTTTTTTTACAGTAAACTATACTGAAAACTTATATTCTAATTATAGAAAAATGAAGATCATATGCTATTCTGAAAGCATAATAACACCAAATGAACAGTTGGTGATATTTTTATATTTTTTGCAGCCAATTTCAAAATTTGAAGTTTTCAAATATTCAATTTTATAATTATTTTTTATTTTCTTGTTTTTCAAGTTACAGTAGTATCATTTAGACAAAGTTGGAGCATTTGCCTAGTAGATTATTCACAAAATATTTGAAAGTGTTTCAGAAAATTTTAAATACTGAGTTCAATGTCACACATCATAAGAGGTTTTTGCACAGTTTAAGGGTTAAGGTGATTTAGTCGTATATCAATTTTCAGAATAACACTTGTGGCACTTTCATTGCGTTTCTCCAACTTCCATCTGGAGAAACAATGTTAACGTTAATATACAAGATAAATGACAAGCAGAATCCAGGCAGACCATCTTTGTTTCTACTGGCTGCCAGCTTGCTGCCTTCTTTGATAATTACTTACTTACTTCTACTGGCTGACAGAATCATGCCACATGATTTTTACTGCTATTGGTTAGTGGCTTGAATGTTGAATTCTCATTACAGTAGTTGTTACAAAAATAGTTGAAATTTTAAAAACAATGTTTTGGGTAAAAAAAAGATACACAGTACAGTATGAAACTAATTATTTTGCTTTAAAATATAATTGACAGGCATAAAATCCAGCCATACAAAATCAGAAAAAAGTACAATTATAAACAAGGTAAGTTGAAGGAATTCGGAGGAGGAAATACTGTATGAAGACAAGGAACTGGGTTATGAGAAAAGGAGTGAAGGCACAAATGCCCAAACCAACTTAAACAATTGATCTTTGTGGTCCTGCTAAAGACAATAGACAGGATGAGGCTTGCTGAACACTGTACACCACTGGAATATCTTTACCAGCCACTCTCATGGATGGACAAACTGTTAGAGCTGCTCGTACTTTAGCATAATTGTTACTTGGAACTCTGATGATTACCTGTCCACATTTGGCATCAAATTTAAGGATATCGAGTGGCAAGCTTGATGACATCTGGAAGAAAAATAAATTGGGTGGTGGTTTAACAATTAAAAATACAGTACGTATTGTAAGTGTTATATATAAAATAATGCATATAGCATCCTGTATAAGTATTACCATGATATCTAATTATCACTCATGCAGTGCTCTCATTAACATGTAGTAGCAAATACTAGGACAGTCAGAGTACCATACAATACTTATATTGAAAACATCTAGTTTGGTGTTTTGAGGATTAGTGCATTATGAACATTCCTTTAAAGTAGTGCCAGTAAAATGTGCGAGTAACCTTTCTTCTCTGAAAAGTCAACATTTAATTATGGTATGGTACTTGTCTTGACCAGACTGAGCAATATGAATGTGTTCAATGATAACTAACCTCTCCAAACATAGTATCCACTGCTGCTCGCAGGACAACCTGCACAAGAGCAGCTGTCATCTCACATGGCAAATCCTGCTGATTGTAATTCCTGTTCAGCAAACACATGAAAATGAACACCAATACATTAAGAAAAAACAAGTAGTTAATTGTTATTATAGTTGTTACATATAATTAGTGTAACCTGAAAATTATCAAAGTTCTGTTCTAACTGTATTAAATGGCCTTAAGATGACACCAAGAAAACTACCAAGTCTGTAAAATACAGTACAGTAATTTATATTCTTTCTTTCTGTAATTTTAGTGGGGAAAAGTACTGTAAATAATTTAATGAAATTTGTGTAAATTTAGAAATTCTATTCTACAAATGTCTGCATTTCAACTTCCATCATTACATTCCAGAGATCTTCAATAGTACAATTACTTCCACACTCTCTATCTATAAAGCACTTATCTGAATATTATTACTCAATCTTGTTACTTTCCAGCAACAAACACATTAATGAAGTGAAGAATAGTTTGTATGTGTCAAGATACAATAATACAAAAAGAAGTTTGACAACACAAGATGCTGCAATTATGTTAGAGTATGGTATATTGCACTATTATTGGGGGGGCACAAGACAGCTATTCCTCCTTTTAAGGTCCCTCTTAACTTATAATTCATTGCAACAGGGCACAGGAAGCAAGAGTGTAAATGATAAGGTTGTCCCACTAGGTCACCCATCCACTACTTGCACAGATGTGCTTGCAAGGTCAAACATTTGATTATACAGTGGAACCTCGAGTGACGAGCGCCTCAATCTACGTGGATTTCAAATAACGAGCGCGCCACTCGGTAAAAATTTGTCTTGACTGACGAGCTTTCGTTTGATTAACGAGAAAAGCACATGTTGCTTCTTAGCGTTCCTGCTGAGTCTCGCAAATTCTCAGACACCTCTGGCGATGCAAATAACTTTTTTGTTGTTTTAAAGATGCTAATGATGCTGGGATGTAAAGACTGCTATAATGTTGCAAAGCATTGATTTTTGTTTTTAGACAAAATTAGAAAAAAAAAATCGAAAAAATTTGAAAAAGAACAAATGTCAAAAATGTTTGTTCAATGAATGTCAGGTAGGCTGCTACATTTTCTAAAAAACAAAATGAAAAATAAAAAAAATGAAAATTTGAAAAAATGTCATAAAGGTTCGTTCAGTGGTTGAATGGTAGGCCATTTTTTTTAAATAAAAAAAAAAATATTGAAAAAATTTGAAACAAGACAAATGTAATAAAGGATCGTTCAGTGTATGTTGGATAGGCTGCTTCATTATTTAAAAAATCGAATATTGTATTGATGTTTTTCAGTGGTAGAACGGATTAATTTTATTTCCATTATTTTAAATAGGAAAAATTGTTTTCAAAAAGACGAGCGTTTCACATGACAAGCTAGATGCCGGAATGGATTAAATGTGTTAATCCAGGTTCCACTGTACTTCCCACCTTTCACACCATTAGTAGTTTAATGCAAAAACAGGACTACTGCTTATAAAAGGTCAATGAGGCATGCTAGATTTCATCAGTAAAATATTCTTGCTACAATGTTTCAGTTTTGACTATTTTATGTCGGTTGGTCCTGGTAGTACAGACGGGTTCATTCTTGACTTACAAACAAGAATTCCAGGTTCAAATCCCAGTCAGGACAGAAATGGTTGGGTATGTTTCCTATTACCTAATGTGCCTGTTCACCTAGCACTAAATAGATACTAAGGAGTTAGTCAACTTCCTGTAGGGTTGCATCCTGGCGACGGTGGGGAGAAAACTTCAATATAAACCTAACATGTATATATACATTTGCTACCTGTCCCCTGACAATGTATTACAGTATTATTATTATATAATATTGTAACTTCTGTGCTCGCATATTCATGACCCTCTCCTCAGATCAGTTATTAATTTGCTTAGTGATATTCAGCATGATTAGTTACTCTATATTAATATTTACTAGATGATGATTCTTCAGGACTAACAACACCACAAATCAAACAAAATAGAGCTGATTTCATTGACATCTTTAAATTACTTTAGAAATGTAAAGATATTAATCCAGACCACTCCTTTAAATGGGGCAACAGCTTGAAACTCAACCAGTGACAATGTAGGACAAAACAAACATTTTCACCACTAGTGTAATATACCCATGGAATGGCTTATTTGCCCAAGCTATGAATGTCAAGACAGATACTGGTCAAAATTCAACTGAAAAACAAAAGAATAAATAAGGGGAACCCTTGACAAGCCTCTAACCTCTTGTCCCTGTCAAGTCCACTAGAGATGATGGCCCTCAGATAAAATACAAAACAAAAATCTACATTCTAGTTGTCATTGTGATATGGATTTATATCCACCTGCCTCACTAGCCAAGTATTGATATAGATGCAGGTGGTTATATGGCATACTTGTCAACAGGAAGTAGTTTGCAAAGTTAACACTATCGCGCACCCCACGAGTGCGCCGCAGACTTTGACGTCATGGCCTCAATGGTGCGGGCGAGCGTGCGGCGACGCCTAAATGTGTATACTTGTTTCAGTTTTCTCACCTTAATTCTGGTACTACATCGTTCGTTTTGGTATCATTGTGTTCGCAATTAAATTCCCTACAGGTGTGTATAAATATAATGTCCAAAAGCATGGCGTGACTCCCAACAGCAAAGCCTAAAGTAGGCAAAAGTTACCCGTGAGCGCACAAAATCAGTAAAATGTGTATACTCGTTCCATTTTTCTCATCTTAATTCTCGTGCTACGTCGCTCGTTTTGTTATCATTGTGTTCGCAATTAAATTCCCTACAGATGTGTATAAATATAATGTACAAAAGCCTGGAGTGCCTCTCTGCAGGAAAGCCTAAAGTTACCCGTGAACGAGCACCAATTTGTATACTGCAACCTAATGTGTATACTCATTCAGTTTGATTACATCAATTTTCGTGTTACGTCTTTCATTTTGGTATCAAATTGTTTGCAATAAAAAGGCACGTATTTTAAAACTAGTCCCATAATAATAGAGCAATAACTGGAATTTTAACAAATATTTTAATTCTGCACGCTCATCATCACAAAATTATTTATATCTTTCCAGTGTTCTGACATAAATTTTTGTCTTACATCTTTCATTTTGGTATCAAATTGTTTGCGATGTAAAGGCGCGCATTTTAAAACTAGTCCCAACCTAATAGCACAATAAATAGAATTTTAACAAATATTTTAAAATTTTGACCAAAAATCTATTTATAATCATATAAGTGTTCGGACATCAAGTTTCATGTTACATCTTTCATTTTGGTATCAAATTGTGCGCATTCTAAAGGCGCTTATTTTGATACTATCCCGAGGTCGATTGGATAAAAAATGAATTTTATACAAATATTTTTGTAGTGGATGCAAGTCCGGTCCAAAGTTAGGACTCTGGAGAAAAATAATGGACGAGAGTCCGGTCCAAAGTGACCGATAGTGTTTACAGATCTAGTGATAAAGCAGACAGAAGGTGGAGCCAACCAATGTTGACATACAGGGGAAGGTTTTATCCTAAGACAGTACAGATTGTGACTATGATCAAATTACATTTGTGGACAGAATATTGGCCAGTGAAGCAAGCATTAGGGTAAAAGTTTAAAAAATAGCAGCTAGGGTAAACCTCTACACTAAACTTGTGACTATTCTGAATAGTGGTAATGAATTTGATTTTCTATAGTAATTAAAAAAATTGTACCCTAATTACAGCACTGGTACTGTTTGTTCACCAATAATGTACAAACCTGTCTGCCAGCCAGAATGATGCACATTTATGTCCCATTTACTAAATATTTTGACTATATCTATAGCACATAATAAGATACAGAGATGGCAGAAGGCATTTTTCTATATATTGTACTTTGAGTTGACCCAATTGAAAATACAGAGGCCTACCGTTATAGCATTTCATTTTATTCAAACCTAAACAAAGCATCTATTAAAATAAAGTATTTGTCTTATATTAGCAACCTGATGCTAAATAAGAATCGGTAATTTTTTTTTTATTAAACTAGGATAAGATCAGAATCAGATAATTACGACAGTACCATCCTCATTAATCTCACATATCTTTGAGATTTACTTAATAACTTGGTGGCAGAATGCCACATTTATTCAAATAAATGTACTACATTATTTCTAATAATTTATTCTGAATTATAATTCTAATAACATTATTAAAAGGCTTACATGTGGACATCAAGGTACCAGTGTTTCGATTCCAAAATTTTCATGTTAAACAGAACCCAGTTTACTGAAGTCTCCTGGCATAGACGGCTGACAAGTAGCCTCTCCTCCTTAAAGTTCTTGTGCTCTCCAAACCCCTATTAAATATGCCACAGAATATAACAAGATATGTATGGACTTCCAAGGAGGCGTGGGAGGAGCAGCGTGACGCGCACCACTTTGTTTACCAACATCAGCTGGCCGTCCGGCTGCCACACACCATTATATACTCATTCTTATTATTTTCCATATTTGATTGTTAAAAATTTATTTTTGAACAAAACTGCGACTATGAAAAGATGCATAACAAACCAGAAAATGTTGAACGTTCGTTAGCTATCTGGACCAGTAAATTGTCACTGACAACAAATAAAATAACGTAATAAACTTTCATTGATAACCGTTACTCCAAAACATTTAGGTAAGGCTTATTTCGTACACTGTCGTTTTGTACACATGGGAGGGGAAACAGGAAACAAATTTAATTTGTTACATTATTAACCTGAGGGCCACTAACCCTAGTGACCTCGACGAGGACAGGAAGCCGGCGGCTTGTCAAATGTACATTTATTTATTTTGATGAACTTTTCCAGATATATTTTAAAACAACACAGTTTTGCAATTACGGCTTCGGCGGGTAGGCAGTTCCAATTAATTTAATTATTGATCTTTCAACCGCTATATGCATCAACAATATGATTAACTTCATACAATCCAAACGTATATCACGTGTTAGGATTTGCTTAAATATCTATGTGAACCGTATCATGTGCGAATTATTATGACCTGTACAAGTTCAAGTTCAAGTATGTTTATTGAGACAAGAAAAAAAAAACATCTCAAAGGGATAGAGTAGCTTACGCTATTTCTACCCCCCAATAGACCTGTAACTAGCAGGGAGTGAAAAAATGCAAATCCATATTGTAATTTAGCTCCCATTATGTTGGTGTTTGGGCCTCCTGGGGTCCGATGGTGCTGGTTTGATAAGCTGTCAATATACTCACCATGTACTGTATATGTTAATATCTAACTAACTTATCATTGTTGTAGCTTGTTTATAGCTATACAACAATTTTTGGATCAAAAAAGGTTAAATTAGGCTTGTTTTCATAATATAATTTTTAATTACGCTATAAAGTTCTAATTAATAGTTGCATAACTACCCGTTACTAGAGAGGGCAGTCACCCGCACAGTCACTAGCCACAGGGACGTTAGAAAGAACTTTTTCAGTGTCAGAGTAGTTAATAGATGGAATGCATTAGGCAGTGATGTGGTGGAGGCTGACTCCATACACAGTTTCAAGTGTAGATATGATAGAGCCCAGTAGGCTCAGGAACCTGTACACCAGTTGATTGACGGTTGAAAGACGGAACCAAAGAGCCAAAGCTCAACCCCCGCAAGCACAAATAGGTGAGTACCCGAATTAACATTTTTATAATACAGATCACTTCGTACAAGGAAGGTTCGTTATACGGATTTAAAAACAATTGACCAAATTCATTATATATATATATATATATATATATATATATATATATATATATATATATATATATATATATATATATATATATATATTTAGAATGTGTGAAGTATATATCATAGTACAAATGTCTAAAACAGCTATAACAAATTAATAAATAAAAGTTATTAAGTAAGAGGGTAGAGGAAGCGGGCGTGTATAGGGGGCGGCGTGGGAGGAGCGAGGCGCCGCCATCAGTCAAACACCTGACCCAGTGGTGGCACAGCACGTGGGTCTTTACGGGCCTCTAGTGCCACTACCACACACTGACAGTCATTGACACCTAGGCACTGTGGTCCCCCACGCTTCTTAGAACAGTAAGAGACTACTCGACACAACCCCTGATTATTGCTCTTTTATTTAGTAAGGTTTGAAAAATCTGAAGTAGTTTTGAGTACAGTGTTCAGAGCGCCGGGCACGCGCTCCCCTCACTGGTGGCGGGGACCATTATTTATTTACTTATTTATCGTATTTATTTATTTATTTCTATACAAGAAGGTATATTGGGTTTATGAGGAGACAGCATTGATGTTTTTACATTCTTGTAAAGCCACTAACACGAATAGCGTTTCGGGCAGGTCCTTAATCTAACATAATTTTAAGTATTATGCCCGAAACGCTGCGCGTACTAGTGGCTGTACAAGACTAATTACTGTACTATGTATCCTCACGAGCCCCATGTACCTTCTTGTATATATATATATAAATAAATAAATAAAAGTAGGTAATTTGTAGCAAAATTGACAAATGTTAACAGGTACATTGTAAGAAAATTTGAAAAAAACACAGGTACATTACAGTGCCATTTGAGGATTATCAACAGGAACATTGTAGCATAATTTAAGGCTTATTTCTAGGTACATTGTAGTAAAATTTGCATTCAACACATCAATCATATTATAAGATGATAGCAATGATTACAATGATGAAGTTGTATGGTTTAGACACATGTATTGGGGTAGTGGGTAGCACAAGGTACAGTGGTACAGTGGGTGTTTAAGGCAGCAGGTAGGAAAGAAACTGAGGATGCAATTAGGTACTTTTTGGTTTTATTTTTGAATAAGGTGTAGGTTGGATAGCTTTTTCTAATATATATATATATATATATATATATATATATATATATATATATATATATATATATATATATATATATATATATATATATATATATATATATATCCTAAACATTCGAGTACGAATGCCAAACAATGTTTATTAAAACATTATAAGTGAATTAGTGAATTAGAACTGCCTTATTCATTATCGGTAACTGTAACTTCAATTATATCTAACAAATTACAACTTCAGCATCTAAAAATCTCATTTCTGACCGATTCTCACCATTTTTACGTATAGTGTGCACAGCTGTCTGTCCAATAATCCCTATAGAATTGATTTTTCATAAACCCTAAAAGTTTGGAGTTATACATTTTTGTCTAAATTTGCACATATTTCAAATGCTATATTGACAAAAAAATTTTTTTACAGTAAACTATACTGAAAACCTATATTCTAAATATATGAAAATGAAGATCATACTCTATTCTGAGAGCATAATAACACCAAATGAACAGTTGGTGATATTTTATATTTTTGCAGTCGATTTCAAAATCTGAAGTTTTCAATATTCAATTTTATAATTTCTTTATTATGTGGTTTTTCAAGTTACATTGGTGCCATTTAGACAAAGTTGGAGCATTTGCCTAGTAAATTATGCACAAAACTTTTGAAAGAGTTTCAGCAAATTTTAAAAACTGAGCTAAATGTCCCACTTCATATGAAGTTTTGCTCAGCTTAAGGGTTAAATCTTGTTTGACAACATACGATGCCAGTATAATATATACCTAAACATTCAGAACATGTACACTACATTCTCTTTTGCTCTTTATACTTAAAAATCCATTTACAATACTCCAATACTAAATTAATGTCACATTATTAAATGAATTATTAAATGTCTTGGAGGGATATAATAGAACCCATGAATATTGCACAATAAATATGTATGACATTACCCAAATCCATTTATATCTTTATAAACATGACATACAAATAAAAGGACTAAGGTATGTAACAACTTAATAAAGAATTATATAAAAATACCACAACTTTACTCAAAAGTAAAGCAGCATTTTTTATCCTGATTCGAGCATAATAACCCCAACTGTTTTTTTTATTCTCGTGCAATCTAGTGTTGCATCACATTTACCCAAGAACACTTGTGCGACTATTTCACCAAATACTGTGAAAAAAACTTGTACCATTTTTTCTTACACCATTTCTTCTTATCACTATCTTTCCCTAGTAGTGTACTGTACTACACTAATACTGTCATTAGCTTTAAAACTTGCCCATAACACAAGACATATGCTTATCAGCTTTGCAAAAAATAAACTGTTCCTAACATCACTTTATTCATGCGAACAAGCCTGAATGGTCCCCAGGCATACATGCAACTGAAAACTCACACCAAGTGACTCGAACCCATACTGCCAGGAGCAATGCAACTGGTTTACAGGGCACCTAATCCACTCGACCATCACGACCGGACAAAAGCTGATGGTAGCCAAGGCTATCTCCCCATCAGCCCGCCGGCACTCTGATGGTAATCTTGGACATAATATTTTATCAAATCACCTCATTCACCTAATCCACTCGTGATGGTCGAGTGGATTAGTTCTGCTCTTGCTGCCGTCTGGGTGACGTGTCCTTGCTGTCATTCGGGCACGGATCTTTTGGTGTTTGTACTGGGGCCTTTCTGCTCGTCTCGTTTTGTTCCCGGGCCCTTTCGGGACTATGTCGCCTTAGGTTGGCGTTTGCTGCCGGTTGTCTCGCTTCTGTTGAGGGGTGCGTGGTGTCCGTCTCCTGGTTCCGTCCCTTTGACCTTCCTCTGTGGGTAGTTAGCTCCGGGAAGCCGACGGGGCTCCCCCTAGAAAACCAGCGTTGAATGTAATGAAACGTCATTTTCTGGGTGAGACCTGGAGGCTCCCCGGCAACCCTCCCTCCCTCCAGTCGACGGTTTTTCGTGTGTTTTGACATCCAGCCTCAGAACTGATGGGTGGATAGCCGGCATGAGAGGTCTGGGGCTCCCCCTTCCCCCTCCCGGGGAGGGGGGAGCTGTGTAGACAGCGGCGCGGTGACGTGTGACGTCATACTAGTTTGCTTGTTTTCTGTTAGGGAGTTCTATCCACTTGTTCGGCTTTTGGTAGCAATTTTAATCAGAATAGGGGTTTGTTTTGGAATGCTTACCTTTCTGGATGCTTGACCCGGTCGATGGCAGACATAGAATGCTTCCAACCACACGGGGGTTTCTATAGGCCATTGCTCCCCTTGCCTCTCTGAAGGGGCCAGGTTTTGGCCATGGTCCTCGGTAGGCCCTAGAACTCCATGCATATGACTGATGCCAAAGTCTGACATTAGCATATCAGCTTGGTAAAGCTCCGGGGAGCCTCCGGGTCTCACCCAGAAAATGGCGTTTCATTACATTCAACACTGGTTTTTTATATTTTTTTTTTTATAGAAAAAGGTTTGTTCAGTGTATGTCAGTGTTGGAGCAGGTAGCCTGCTCCAATTTTGTATAAAAAAAATGGATGAAAAAAAAATCTCACTATGAATGGTCTCTTGTTTTTCCTCTATCGTCATCCTCACAATTATTTTCTTAGGTTGAACTTTACCACTGACTTTCTTGGAACCCATGGCATGATATATAATAAGAACTTTTGTGTTCAGAAACCAAAAAAAGCACAAAACAATGAAATTCTTCACAAAGAATTCAAGCACGATCATCACTAGGTGGGAGACACTGGTAAACTGAAGCGTCACGCTCGCAGTGGACCCGTACGTATATGAACGAACTCTGAAAACCGAGGCAAACAATGAGTACCGTATCATATTTTTTGGAGAAATTGAGTACAGTACGAGTACTGAAAAATACGAGAACGGGCATACGAGGACTGAGATTCCACTGTACATAAATACATAAACAAGAGGTCTTACATTCTTGTAAAGCCACTAGCACGCATAGAGTTTCGGGCAGGTCGTTGATCCTAATTTTTCCCCGGAATGCGACCTGCCAAATCGTTTAACAACCAGGTACCTATTCACTGCTGGGTGAACAGAGGCTACAGTTAAGGATTAGCACCCAGTCAATCCTCCCCGGCCAGGATACGAACCCAGGTAAAAGCACTAAAGCGCCAGGCGAGTGCTTTACCACAACGCCACGGGGACTGCTATTTTGTAAATGTTGTATACAAAACCATGAAACAATTTATTGTACAGTAGCATGCCTTTAATCCTGTGCGATGTGAATGCATGCTTAAGACGTTGTTGCTAATGTCATCTTTCAGGTTGTAACAAATTTTAAAAGAAAATTCTTCCACTGAAATTAATATGACATGTTGCAGCATGCTACCTAGGAATAAGCGACGACGTCTCCTTCCGAGGCCCCAGACGACAGATGGGAAAAATGACAAAGATCCAGTGGAAGTCTCCTGTCGAATAAAACCTCTGGATAATGTGGAAAAAGAACAATGCATAATTGCTCTTGATTCTCGCACTATAAAGGTAAGACTAGTCATTTTGTGGGAAAATAATTTTTGTTAAAAATGTCACAGCAAAAAGAAAGCTAAAAGTTGTACAAATATTAACAATATAAAACTGCTACACCCTGTACATTATGTATTAAAAATGGCAAAATATAATTCTATAATTTTTCAGATGTTACTTGTATTGGGTTGGTGCACACAAGATTTCTAAAAATTTTAGCATGATGTAGTTTCCCCTCAAATGATGCTGAAAATGTATATTACCTTCAAAACTTTAGTATGCAATACTGCTGTAGAGATTTTCAACCTTTTTAAACTGACAGCACACTCAACAAGGCACTGAAGTAATCAAGGCACTGTAAGGGAGCGATCCTTGTGAAGTGTTTAACTTGGTGTGTTTAACTCTTGAATTTAGAATTTCCACCAGTACACTAGTTCAGCACATGCGCAGAGCATTGTCATGGCAGGAAAGTGTCCTCCCCAGAACAGTAATTACCTAAGTGTAATTACCTAAGTGTAGTTACAGGATGAGAGCTACACTCGTGGTGTCAGTGTAAACATAAAAGAGAATTCATATTTATTTAGGACATTCAGTGCTTGAAAATATATAGAAACAGTGTTAACTCCAGCACTGCACCAGTCGACATATTAACAATTGTGGTGGTGCACCAGTCGACATGGGATCATGTTAGTGCATGTTTATCATAAGATTCGAAACTCCCATGCACAAACTACTTGGTCACATTTGCCTCCTCAGGCCTCCAGTAACCATCGCCCCATTTAAAAAAAAAAAAAAAAAAGTAAAAAACTCCCTCACTTTCCTTACATGGCCTTAGTAACGTGGCCTACGTGACTAAGGCCTAAGTAACGTTCCCAAGGTCATGGCCTTAGGAACGTGCAGGACAGCTATACTATGAGCCACTGATATTGTAACAGCAGCGAGTGATTACCATTATATATTTCAGGCAAAAATATATGCTATGTCCAATTATTTATATGTATATATGTATATTTTCAAAGTTATATATAATAACATTTTTGTACACAGATACAACTTGTTTGAGTTGTATCTGTGCTAAAGCTAAATAAATAAAAGGAGAAACATTGACAATAATTTAACAAAGTTATTCCCATGCGGCAACTCGCCTCATTTTTACAAAAAAAAAAAAAAAAAAAAGTTCTCCAGGCCACTACAGCTAAATTACAAGAGATAGAAACTTTTTACTTGGATTTTCGTGCTTCTTGGGTGCTAATTAACGATATTAAAAGTAAAACTTATGTTTCTGTGGAGAGCCCCTCTGGCTCCTCGGAGCTATACCGGGCCGATATGCATGTATTAGACCGTGGCATCAGTCAATTCGATTGGAGTTCTAGCCTACGGGGACCATGAACCAGAGAGGCTTGAGGAGCAATGGCCTATAGAAATTCTCATGTGGTTGGAAGCATTTTAAGTCTGCTATCAACCGGGTTAGGCACCCAGAAAGGTAGGCGTCTCAAAACAAACTCCACCTGACTAAAAATTGTTACCTAAAGCCAAACTAACAAGCAGAACTCCCCAATCCAAAAATAAGCAAACAAACATGATGTCACAACCGCCGTCGCGCCGCTGTCTGCGCAGCTCCCCACTCCCCGAGAGAGGGAAGGGGGAGCCCCAGACCCCCCGCGCCAGCCATCCAACCCCAGTTCTGTGATTGATGTGTTGAGTGGCGGTCGTTCGACTCTGGCTCCTGTGTCTGCGCAGTGCTGTCAATTTGTGGTGGTGGTCTGCTGTGTGGTGGTGTGTGAGCCAAGAGTAATTCACAGAGTACTGGGGCTGCATGCACCTAGGGCCACCTTCCCTAGATGCCCTGTAAGTACTGCTCTTGTGGCTTGGGGTTACCTTCCACAGGTCGTTTGGGAACTGCCTCCGTAGGGATCTTTTGGCGCTCGGTGATTGCCCGCCCTTGGGGCCAGCTGGGGTTTTCATTTCCGCTGTTTGACCTTGGGTAGGAGGTACTGTGGTATCGTCACTGGTAGGGGTGCAAGGTACTGTGCAGCTTGTCACCAATTAAACAGCGGTTGGTTCAGTTCCCCATGGAGACTTTGTACTTTTGCGGGGTTTTCATTTTTCTTTTTGTTTGTTGCCTGGTGGGGGTCTGCCCCTTGGTTATGGTCCACCCTATGTTATTTTAGGTTCCCTGCTAGGTCCCCATGATTGTACACGTCGCAGGGGTTCATCTGTAATTGATCTCTCAGTAGTTTGGGCCAACCGGTTAGCAGTACCTTGCATGGGCGTACCTTTGCAGTCAGCCTAAGGGGCCCCTTGAAAACCCCATTGAGGCTCATTGGTCCAATGGATGCGTCCTCTGGGTCCCTTCCCGCCTTGTGCGAGTTCGAAGGTTGCTGTCCCCTTGTCTCAGGGTGACATTCACCAGTTTTGCCTGTTGGGTCGGTGACACCTTCGATCCGGAGTCCTGTGAGTAGGGTTTCTTGCTGGTTATTCAATTCACCCAGTCCACTGATACAATAATAGGGTGCAGGCAGCATCAACGTTGCATGCATGGTTTAGGTTGTTGCAATGGGCTAGGTTGGTTGCCTTTCTGGATGCCCTGTGGCTGCCTCGCTTTGGTTATAGACCCAATTTTGGGGGCGTTAGTTGCTTAAACTTTGGTTTCGTCTGCGCTCCTTTGTTCTTTTCCTGCTGTTGTTTGTCCTGCTTCCCCCCCTCCTCCCTGCTGCCAGCTCCCAAATGTCTGAGGGTTTCGGAGTCGGGACAGGGTTTAGATGGTGGTGAGGCTTGGGTGATTTCAGGGGCTGCCCTTTTCGATTTGGTGACGGAGGCCTTCGAGTCTGCTCCTCCAGCCAAGACTTAGGGGTCTAACCAGCGGACCCCCATTTTCCCAGCTCTTTTCTGGTTGATTCTGCCTTTTCTTTAGGGGGGCAGAGGGTTTGGAGGACAGCTCTGGCCTGGGTCCTTGCGTGGAAAATCCCGAGGTTGAGGAGTTGAATTGTGCTTGGACTCCGTTTGACCTCACTTGAGTGTTGGTACCCTCGGCGCGGTGCTTGTTGTTGCAAGGGGGAGGGGTTTTCTTACCCTCCTTTCCTTCCCTGTACGAATTTAATATGGGTTTGGCTCCCCGGGTTCGGTTCCGGGTTCCCTTGGGTTCTTCGTTCCCTTCCTTCTGGAGGTTTTTCGGCTTCCCATATCCTGCCTAAGGAGGTTCGGGAGATCATTGCAGCGTGCCTCCTGCTTGACCCGGATTTTGCCTCAGTACTGAACCCTTCCTCGTTTGAACTCGGTTCTACTTTTCCTTATTGGGTGCGTTGTGATGTACTGGAGTTATCCTGATTGGCAGACTGTCCTTTCTTTTCTTTGGGGGCATGCCATTTGTTTTGTTGGACCCTCACACTTGAGTGGTGGAGAAACTAATACTGTGGGTTCAGGTTTACTTGGGGGGCGAGTTGAAGCACCTTGATGCGTGCTATTTCCCCCCCATTCTTCCTAAGGATATTACCACTTACTGCTTTCGTTGCCTTCCATCCGGCTTGAATCTGGCACCTCGCGTTTTCACATGCCTTACCCGGGTCATGGTGACTGACCCCTCTTGCATCTGCTAGGGGATCAGGTTCTGGCCTACCTCGACGACTGGCTGGTGTGAGCTCCCAGCCAATCCACGTGTCTGCTCACCAGGGGTTTGGTTTTTGGTGAACTGGAGGAAGTCCCATCTGGTTCCCTCTCAGGCTCGGACTTGGCTGGGTTTTGTGTGGGACTCGCAGACCGCTTCTTTGTCCCTCCCTCTGGTGTCTTTGCTGCAGCTGCGGTCCTGCCTTCGGCTGTTTCTGAAGGGTTCCAGGGTCACTCATTGGTTGCTCGAGCAGCTGTGCGGGAGTCTTAACTCCACTGTGCTGGTTGGTTCTTGCTTCGGCAACTGTTATGGTTCCTTCGGGGATCTCCCTTCCACTGTTTTCGTAACTGTTGTCAGGGTTTGGCTCTCCTGGAGGTTCACATCCAGGAGGTGTCCGACGTCCTGGAGGATGGCCTATCCCGGTTCATTCCCCTGTCCACGGAATGGACGGTCGGTGCCGACTCGTTCAGTTGGCTCTGCCAGACGTACGGGTGCCCGGAGGTGGACCTCTTTGCGTTGGCATGGTCGAGGAGTCTTCAGGTATATGTGGCGTCTCCCCGATTGTGAGGCCGTTGGGGTCGATGCTTTTTGGTGGGACTGGTCGAGGTGAGGTTACCTGTATCTCTTCCTGCCGGTTCTGCTGTTGTTTTGTGTTCTGGTGCATTTGAAGACTTATCAGGGAAGAGTAGTGCTGTTGGCCTCTTGGTGGCCGGCCCAATCTTGGTTTCTGGCACTGCTTGCTCAGTGTCCGAACCTTGGGACTTTGCTTTTGGCTCTGCCTGTTTCAGCAGACTGGTCTGGTCTGGAATGTGGCTGGTTTGATCATCTCCTCTGATCTTTGCATCTGGTCTTCCTGATGTGGTTTATCACCATTTGTATGATGATTGGGTGGCTTCTTTGATTATGTCCCCACCTGCGTGTTTCGTCTCGGCGGTAGTATGAAGTCTCCTGGCGGTCCTTTCGTTACTTTTTGTCTTTGTAGTTTGTCTTAGGTTTCAGATCGGGTTGTTTTGTCCTTTTCTCTCTTGGTTGTTTCACGATTGTCATCTTATCCCGAATACTGTCTCCTCATATCGTGTGGCATTGGTGGAGCCGCTCCTGTTTGCGTTCGGGGTGGATGTTACTTCTGCTTCGTTTTGCAAGCCATCTCGTGTATTGTTTTACGTCTGGCCTGCTTATGCACTGCCTGCATTGTCCTGGTCGCTGGACCGGGTGCTCTATTTTCTCTCTCATAGGTTTGTGGTGGTCCCTTCAGTTTGGGATTTTTTTTGACAAGGCTTTATTCTTGTTGGCATTGGCCTCTGGGGGTTGGGTCAGGGAGCTTCGTGCTCTCCTCCTGCGCAGGGGTTTTTGCTCTTTCGGTCCTGGTGATAGGTTTGTTTGGTTGTAACCATCTTCTTTTCTGGCAAAGAAC